TGTCGGCCTGTGAGTGGCTCGGGGTGGCGGCGCGTTTTGTCCGGCCGGACCGGACGTGTCCGGCGGCGGGAGGAGGAAGAGACTAGGGTTTGGACTGCGTGAAAAATTCGGGGGGAGGCACATATTTGTAGGTAGAGGGAGCTAGGAGACTCCAAATGAGGTGCGGTTTTCGGCCACACGATCGTGATCGGATGCTCTAGATGATGGAGAGGGTTTTGGTGGGTTTTGGGCCAAATTGGAGGGGTGTTGGGCTGCAACACACATGAGGCCTTTTCGGTCCCTCGGTTAACCGTTGGAGCATCAAACGAAGTCCAAATGGTACGAAACTTGACAGACGGTCTACCGGTAGTAAACCAAGGCCGCTTGGCAAGTCTTGGTCCAATCCGGAAATGTTTAAACCCCACACACGAAAGAAAGCTAGAAATGACCACCGGAGGAGAACGGAGCGCCGGAATGCAAAACGGACAACGGGGAAAATGCTCGGATGCATGAGGCGAACACGTATGCAAAAGCAATGCACATGATGACATGATATGAGATGCATGACAACGACAACAACACACGGAGACAAAAACCCGAACCCGAGAAAATAAAATAACTTAGCGCCGGAAACGGCAAGAGTTGGATTACATATTAGGTAAATTATATCCGGGGTGTTACAACTATTCAACCAGTGTCGTATTAGCCCTTTTAGCTTTGGAGGAAGGTATTTAATGGCGTGGAGATCATCGCCGCGAGCCATGTGAATATGGACAAGAAAATCTTCAATCCATACAACGAGATCTGTGGTTCCATCATATGCCTTGATGTTTACGTGTTTGAACCCTTCTGGAAATTGGTGCTGCATTACCTCATCGGTAAAGCACATGGGGTGTGCGGCACCTCTATATCGGGTAACATCACGCGGAGTTCGGATGACATCCGTGTTGGATTCTCAGCCCAAACTTGGTTATGCTTGTCGCGCCAGGCATGATGGTCGTCATCTCGTGTTGGAGCACGTCCCCTTGATCTGTAGATTGATCTGGTCTGGCCGGCTCTATTGTCCAGGTCCTAACGTAAGTCGTACGTGTAGCCCAGAGTCGCTGCCTCTTTGCCTCTACGGCGAGGTGGCGCGGGCTGGTGTTCGACATAATTTGCCGATTTGTCCCGTCCACGTGGTGATCGGTCCGGTTGATCAGCATGATTGTACTTTGATGGTATTGGCTTAAGGGCCTCGTTGTCGAATTGTGGTAGTAGCATGCTCTTTGGATAGCTCTTTGTTGGGTGCTCGAGGCCATATTCTTCGGCAGCCAGGACCTTGGTCCATCTGTCGTTGAGCATATCCCGTTCGGCTTGAAGCTGTTGTTGTTTCTTTTTCAGGCTCCTCGCAGTGGCGATGAGCTGTCGCTTGAAGCATTCTTGTTCGAGGGGTTCCTCTGGCACGATGAAATCTTTGTTGCCGAGGCTAACATCCTCCTCGGAGGCCGGGAGATAATTACTATCTTCCGAATCCTCATGATCGACAAGTTTGTCGAGGTTAACCTGTCCCTCCTCCCTCTCATCCTGCTCGAACGCAGGCTCAACGGGGTGGTCGGAGTCTTCAGCATTGTCCGGAGTGTCATTATCTCTAGTGCCGGTGTTTCTTTCCCTTGCCCGACGTGATCGTGAGCGGCGCCGCTGACGTCGGCGTTTTGGTGGTTCATCGACGGGCTTATCCTCATCGAGGTCTTGAGTGCCATCGTCGTCCTTCTTCTCGAGTGTGTCCACCATGTATACATCATAGGTAGAAGTGGCTGTCCAGCGCCTAGTGATAGGCGGGTTTTGACATGGTTCGGCCCCAACATCGTCGTCCATACCATTGATGTCTTCGGAGGCGTAGTCTAGCACGTCGGTTAGGTCCTCGATAGTGGTTATTAAGTGGGTGGTGGGTGGGACATAAAATTCCCTACTCTCAGCCCCCAGTTTAGGCTGGGCGTATTTTGGAGATGATACTTTCGTGATGGCGAGAGATCGCATTGGGTCCAGTGTCTCGCTTAAGAGCGAAAGCTGGACGGGCGTATGAGGATCCGCGGAGCCGGGTTCGGTGATGACCACTTGACCCAGCCCGATGGACGCAGACCTCGAGGGTTCGGAGTTTTCGTCCAGAAGCGAGCCCGGCTTCCCGATAACAGGAAGAGTCCCGTTTGACTCCAGGTCTGTTGATGGTGTGGTCGCATCTGGGTCTCCGGTAGGAAGCTCCCTGAAAGGAGAGAGTCCAGCGGGGTTTATCCTCCCGTCTTCGGACATAGTGGTCCGCTCTAGATCTAAGGCCAGGGCGGGCGCGAGAGTCCATCCTTGAGTGGAATCTGATGGTGGATCCGACGGGCTTCCTTCATGTGGATGAAGAGCGGTGGCCGAGGCCGAACACCCTTCGAAGACCAAGTCTCCTCCGATATCAGCGATGTAGTGCAAGCTTCCAAACCTGATCTGGTGACCAGGGATGTAGCTGTCGATCTGTTCAAGGTGACCGGTTGAATTGGCACGCAGAGCAAAGCTGCCAAACACAAAGAGTTGACCAAGGAGAAAATCTCCCTGGAAACAGCATCGTCGCCGATGACAATCTGGGCCATCGATCCTTTTGTCGACGATACCGTGGAACTCTCAATGAAAGCACCAATGTCGGTGTCAAAACCGACAGATCTCGGGTAGGGGGTCCCGGACTGTGCGTCTGAGGATCAATGGTAACAAAGGACGATGGGGGCACAATGTTTACCCAGGTTCGGGCCCTCTTGAAGGAGGTAAAACCTTACGTCCTGCTTGATTGTATTCAATGAGTATAGGGGTTACAAGAGTTGATCTATCTCGAGATCGTAATGGTTAAACCCTAGCTGTCTAGCCTATGAGATTATGATAGCCTCCACAGACTAAATCCTCCGGTTTTTATACACACCGAAGGGGCCTAGGGTTGTATAGAGTCGGTTTTGTGGGGGAAGGAAATAACATATCCGGACACCAATCTTGCCATCCATCCACGGGGGAAAGTCTTCTGCTTTTATCTTCACGGCCATCAGTCCGGCCATGTCAAATAGTCCGAACACCCGAGGACCCCTTAATTCAGAACTCCCATAGTGGTGCTATACAAGATCAAGCAGAAGGGCATGAAGGGGAGGTTTAAAGATGGCAGTAGGCTCAACATGACGAATGGCTCAAAAAATGAACGGGACGATGGGAGGACTTCTCCTTGGGTAGGAAAGCAAGGGGGGCGAGGCCACTTCGGTTTGGGGCGATGCGACCATGAAACATGTAGTTTTGACATGCGAGGAAAGAAAAAAATCATGGATGAGGATGCCAAGGGAGATAGAAGTCAACGACGATAGAGAAGCACAAAGAGGAAACTCCATTATGTGTGGCATATGACAGAGCAGAGGAGGCAGCAAGCAAGGGCGAAGTTAGGAAAAAAGTTTGTTGGGGTCACGTCAATGACAGTGGGGTCATCCTCAATAAATAGATAGTGTTTAGTACTAAATTAATGAAGCATTTTCTAATTTCATTGGGGGCAAGGAAGCTTCGTCCCTGACAGTGAGGATGAGCTAAAAAAGATATTTATTGCAACACAATTATAAACCAATATGACATACATATTCTTGTGTATATGTTCATTGTTCCGTGCCAATGTACGGGCATCCAGCTAATAGTGTATTGAATATTGATGTCAGATGATTACCAATTTCATCTCGCTGAGTAAAAGAGAAAACAAAATCATACGGTGAGCACCTAAATCAGCAGATAGCCCCCGCTTTCGATAGAGCCCTGCGACGGCACGACCCTCCGAGGGCGTCGACCGCTACCCCCTCTCTCTCCGATGGCGTCCCTCGCCGCCTTCCACCCTAACCTCCCCCACGCCCACGGCCACCCCTCCCATCCCAACCCCACCAGCGGCCTCCTCCGTCTCCTGCCTTTATGCCGCCGCCATCGTGCCCCTCGCCGGCGGGGCCTAGGCCTCGCCGTCTCCGCCTGCGCCTCCTCCGCCGCGTCACCGTCTGCCGCCGGGCGAGGCGATCGCTCCGAAGCAGCCTCTTCGCTCGAGCGTTGCCTCGCGGCGTCCGCCCTCAGCGCCGCGGCACCCGCGGCTGCGTCTCCTCGCGTACCGCCGGCGATGAAGGGCGGGAAGCAGTACGGCGCGTTCGGCGCCGTCACGCTCGAGAAGGCCAAGCTTGACCTATCCCAACGCAAGAAGAAAATCATGCCCGAGGTAGCCAATCCTGTTATTTCCAGTCGATTAAAACTGCAAAAACAAGTGAATTTATGAGATAGGTTTAGGGAATTTCTGAGAGATATGTTGTCCTTGCCCCCTCGTTATTGAGTAACATGGCACTGATATATATGAATCAAGTAGGAGCCCGCTCTGAAGTCAGATGGCTGTACAAGTGGACGGGGATACCAAAATAATGGATAAAGCCTGTTGGTGCGGAGAACCTTGTGTTTTTGTGTTGAGTAGTGTTATATATATTATTTGTGATGGTTAGCAAGTATAAGCACTAGTCCTTTTCCATCCTTTTGACTTAGGATTGGGCTGTACAATTCGTCCACCACCTGCGTCAGCACATTAACGAAATATCAAGATCAGGAGAACACAATAAGTTTGTACTGTTTGGGATTGAAACAACAAGACATAGATGCATGATGTTAAATGTACACGCCAATGGTTCAAACATCAATACTTAGGTATCCAATGTTTATTTATCATGAACTATGACTTGTACACAATTTTTAGTTGGTGTATTGAAATACAGATTAATTAAACATATGAGGCTAGTTTACTACAAAGTTCTCATTGCTGTTACCATCCATCATGTGCTTCTTCGCACGTTGCAGCTGGCGACAGGTGGTGGTGGTGGAGATATTGGGAAGAGAATTGGCCATGGTGGTGGTGATGGCGGGGATGATGACGGAGATGATGACGATTACTTTGATGATTTTGATGATGGAGAGGAAGAAGATGGTGGACTTTTCAGGAGACGAATTGTTATACAGGAGGTGAAATTTCTGATATTTTTTTCAGAGAAGCAGCATCTGAATCCTGACAAAGATTGGGCTTGTTTGTTGATTACTGCTTGTTCTATTGCAGCTTTTTAATAGAGAGTTTATAGATGCTGTAATGCAAGAGTGGTGCAAAACGATGATTAGTATACCTGCTGGTCTCCGTCAGGCTTATGAGATGGTAGATGTTTGTCTTGCTCATTCTCATTGCATACTTTGGAATGGTTTGAACAGTAGACTAAATGTGATAGATCAATCTAGGGTTTGGTAAGTTCTGCTCAGATGGTGCGATTCTTGTCAGTGTTTTCAAGACCTACACACACTAGGTCTTTTTCACGAGCTCTACCTGGATGGCTATCCCGAGGTCTTGTTGGAAGGTAACACCCAAATCATTTGCACACTTCCTTCAGGCATTCTCTAGATATTGATATTGATATATGCAGTTTGGATGCTAGGCATGTGTTCCTAATGTTGCAGCTTTGTGCCCTTGGTACAGCTTGTGTTTACATTTCTCGGTGCTTATGGTATTTCTCCATTCTATCGCTATGAAAAATTAAAGGGCAGCGCTAGGTGCCGGTCGACCGGCCAGAGGCCTCAGTTGGTGACCCTGCATGCCGTATGATTGGCCCAGGCGCAGCCGTTGAATCTGTGCGTCCTCATGCCGTTGGGTCCTGCGCGCCGTACGATTGGCCCAGACGCAGCCGTTGGATCTGCACATCCTCATCTCGTTGGGTCAACCCACGCGAGGAACAAAAGATCCCCTGCCTAGGCGAGGAAAAAGACTTCGTGCACGTGCGCTCCCGGTGAGGCGAGACAGCACCGCCACGCGTCACGCTCGCCACAGCATCCCCGCGTCCGTTGATGTCGTCGTCCCCGGTGAGGCGAGGCAGCACCGCCGTGCCGTCGACTCGCAGCTTTCCCCGTCGCCGCTGGTCGCCATCTAGCAAAACAGCTTGTCGGTTGAAGCTTTGCGGTTGCGAGTTGTAGCATCACGGCTGGCCGGTTGTAGCGTCGCCGTCTTCCGCTCGCAGCTCGTCGCGTCGGAGGTTCCAGCATCGTCGGCAACGGGTTGTAGCATCCCGCGCTCACCATTGCCGCTTTCCCAAGCGACGGTGCCCAGCTCGCAGCGGTCGAGGTTGCAACATCTCGCGTTCACGAGTTCCCCAGCTCGCCTCAATCACCATTGCGCTTTGCGCCAGTTGAAGCTTTTTCCGTCACTGGTTGTAACTTTCTCTGGTAGCTTTTTGCGGTTGCGCACTGGCCGGTCAGCCTTTTCTCTCGCTGGTTGTACCTTTTTAGGCCGCTGGTCGCCCCCCTCACCCCGGGTCTCTGGTTCCAGCAAAAAAACGGCACCGATCACAGCATTTGGTGCTGCTGGTTGCAGCCCTTGCTTTCTCTGGTTTCAGCAAAAAAAGGGTGCTGGCTGCAGCTCGTTGCCGCTCCGCCTCGTGCCGGTCTCAGCTCCACTGCAGCCGGTTGCAGCACCCTATGCAGCACGTCAGTGCCGCGCAGCTTCGCCGGGCCTCGGCCGCAGCTCCGATGCACGCCGGGGAGCGTGAGAATTGATGGAGGGAGAATCCCGCAACGCCGGGGCGCGGGGGGAGGTGCTCGCCGCAGCGGTTGATGCGAGACGAGAGAGAGAGCAGAAAGAAATTGAGCGAGGGAGAACGGCGGATGGGAGAGGATAAGGTTTGATAGGAATGGGCGAGGTGGAGAAGGGGATAAGATAAGGGAAAGGATGGGCATGGTACGTGGGCACCACGTGGACGCCCGTCCGTGAGAGGCGACCGGCACGAGGCTGCGCTGGTCGTCCGGCTCAGAACGTTTCCCAAAATTAAATCCTAGTGCAGTAATTGGGTTTCTTTCGTCCGTCATGGCATTTTTCAGAAAAGTCCCTCTATTTCAAAGAATTCAACCCTCAGTCCTGTTTTAAATTAAAACGAATCGTTATTTTCGTATTTTACACAACAGTCCCCGTCTTTTCTTGAAATCTACCCGCCGTCCGGATTTAAGTCACACCCGAACCGTTATTTTACATTTTTCGAAACCCCCCCTGATGTTTTAGATAATTCATCTGCGGATCATATTTAAGTCAAACAAATGCTTTTTAAAATCATCCATATCTTTTAAACCGTAACTCCGATTTGAACATGTTATATATGAAAAATATGTAGAATATGAATATGAGATTATTTTTACCTGTTAAGTATTTTTAAATATTATTTTGGAATATATTTGAGTCAAACCAAATGATTTTCTAAATTATCTGTATCTTTTAAACCGTAACTTTGATTTTAATATATTATATATGAAATTTTATTAGAAAAATGTGTGGAATCTAAATATGATGTTAATTTTACCTGTTAAATATTTTTTAAATATTGTTATGGAAGCAAACTTATAATTTATAGCGCAAGATTCGTTTTTTTCATATCGGCAGCGATCCGGATTGCAAATAAACACTCCACTATAACCATATACGGAAAAGAAAACATCGATAACTACACATGCATACCTCTGAAAAATGTCGCAGGGGAAAACAACAGATTTCTCATCGCGAGAGTGAGAGAGAGAGGGAGAGGGAGG